TTACACCCAACCCCTATTGCTCATATAAGCATCCAACCTATGTTTGAAGCTATTCAGCGTATTCGAGTTAATGATGATATTTGGTAACTTGTTCCATTCATCCACTACTCTGTTTCCAAACCAGTGTTTACCTATTTCACGCCTAAATCTAAATTTGTCTAATTTAAAACCATTGTTACGAGTTCGCTCCTGGGTGGATAGTTTGAGTACCTTTGTAATGTCCCCTTTGTTTAGCCCTGACTTCCATTTATACACCTCTATCAGGTCGCCCCTCACTCTACGTCTCTCGAGGGAGTGCAAATTAAGATGCTTTAACCTGTCTCTATACTCAAGGTTCCTAATGCCCGGGATTAGTCTTGTCATTCTCCTCTGAATTCTTTCCAAGGATTCTATATCCATTCTGTAATACGGTGACCAGAACTGAACTGCGTAATCCAGGTGTGGTCTCACAAGAGCAAGATACAGTTTTAGGATGACCTCGCTAGTCTTGTAACTAACACTCCTTTGTATGAACCCAAGTACTTTATTAGCCTTGTTACGAGCAAAAACACATTGTTTACTTGGCTTAAGGTTCCTACTTATCATTACTCCTAAATCTCTCTCGCAGTCGGATTTCTCTATGGCATCGTTGTTCATCTGGTATCTGGTTTCCCTGTTTACATCTCCTATACTGAGTACTTTACATTTGTCACGTTGAATTTCATCTGCCATTTTTCAGACCATTCGAAAAATTTGTTTAGATCTTCCTGTAGTTTTGCCGAGTCCTCGTCAGATTTGATAACACGTCCTATTTTAGTGTCATCAGCAAATTTACTTATGTTGCTGTCTACGCCGATATCTATGTCGTTTATGTATATAATAAATAATAATGGTCCAAGTACTGAGCCTTGGGGAACTCCACTTGTGACGTTGCTCCAATGGGACTTAGTGCCGTTATGTAAACACCGCTGACTGTAAAGTTACTTGACATTCCGAAGGGTTGACTACTTCCTCCTTCGAGGAACCTTCTAGAAGCTTGACTCATAGATCGCTCTGATGGCGAATGCTGGAATTATTCTTTACGGGCGTGTCACAGCCGTGCCCTTATTCAGTCTTTAACTGGACCCCTCTGAGTTAAGATCTACAGTATACCTGGACCACCTCAGTTCAGCTTGTCTAACACAGAGCCCGCCTCAAGTACTAGACGACCTACACTGAGAACATTCCCAGAACAATACACGGGGCCAGTCTAATTAACTGTACAGTATTTGGAATTGTAAATATCACGATATATATACACTAATCTTCTGTATAATTTATCCCTTTTGTGGAAGACGTGAACAATAAGTGGAACAATAATTATCGAAAGTCTCAGGCATTCTACTGATATCGACTGGGCTTTAAACATGCAATTTAATATTTAGTGAGACTATATACTGACAAGTCTCACTCCTCACAGGCCTACAAGCCATAGGCCTTGCATACATACATACATACATACATACATACATACATACATACATACATACATACATACATACTGTACATACATACATACATACATACATACATACATACATACATACATACTGTACATACATACATACATACATACATACATACATACATACGCACACATACACATCTCAAGTGACTCATACACACACACACACGTACGCGCGCTTGTAAAAACCAACACATCTCTAATGACTCACAGACACATACACACATACAGTACGTACAGTATAGTTGAGACATGACTACACACACACACACACACACTGATAACGTCAGAGGAAACAACGACACGAGGCCACCAGGAGCGACGACTCATCCTCAGCGTATCGCAGTACAGAAGATATACACGTCAGTTCCTGTTAGCCCCCCTCCCCCCCTCACTGCGCATCCTCCACCGCGTACATCTTAAGCAACACACTGACCACCAGGTATATATATGTGTCCAGGTGTTGTGTGGATCATACCTCACCAGACAGGCAACCAGAGACGAATATCTAAAACCTACTCAGAACGTAATTGATTCACCCACCGACAACTCAAAACAATACTGAATCCTAACAAACATTACTCATAAAACATTACTCATATCCTGAGTCATCAACAATTGAAGGGTATTAAAACATCTCTCAACACCATACAAGATTCTTCCTGAAGTTCCACCTCCGAGACCCTGAGAGTGTGAGGAAGAATTATTGGCATTGAAGATCTTGTGTACCAGGACCCCAGGAGCCGCCGTCAGGATGGGGAAGGGACGAGACCTATTGGATCACCTACACCACCACCATACTGGTCAGTCGTATACTCAAAATATGGTTGTTTATTCTGAATTATAATTAGGAAGTAAAATACATCATCTCTCTAAATATGAGACGTAAACAAAAACGGTGATATGTATTGAACTTGTCAATACGTGTGTGTGTGTGTGTACGCTAAACATGACACTCTCCATACTACAACCAATAACGTTCCATCCACAGAGCCACAGAGGGTTAAGCTGCGGACCGGATCAACCAGTAGCGTGAACAGCACCAGCAGCGACACCAACACTCCCTCGTCACACAAGACCAAGAAACAGAAGAAGAGCGACCGTAAGCACCACCACCTACTGCTCACCAACAGTCTCCTCTCCTATTTGTCTGTTAACCGTTGACTGTTGATCAATTAAAGGATAAATTACCACTAAGCTTGGAAATATTAGGTCTGAAGATATGTAAGAAGTTAATTTGTTCGACTCTACTTAATTTTAGGTTTTGTGTTTTTATAATGAATACTCAACAACTGTGATGATATTATATTGATGTTTATATGTGCATGTTTTCTTCACCGCCTTACAATGCCAGTGATATAGGCATACTGGATATAAGACACGGGAAACATTAACCTAACCTAACCAAGCTTAATCCAACCCAGCCTAAACCTATCCTATCTTAACATAGCCAAGCAGTCCTAACCCAACTTATTTTAACCTAATTAAACCAACCTCCCTAGATACACACACACATGAACTGCTTCACGCGTACAGTCATCTAACCTAACTAAACCTAAATTAAACCAACCAAACCTAATCTAGCTGAACCTAACCCATCCAAATCTAACCGAACCTAAACTAACACAACCAAACCAAAATTTTTTTTTTATATGGGCATTAGCCCACCCGGGCATAGGTCATTGACCCACATCGGGGCCTGGGGGGCGAACATATAATAATAATAATAATAATAATAATAATAATAATAATAATAATAATAATAATAATAATAATAATAATAATAATAATAATCTATATATATATATATATATATATATATATATATATATATATATATATATCTTGATAAAATCACACGGAAAATGGAAACAACGGAGTACCTTATCAAGATTTATCTTATCCACGTTTTCATTGTGGATTTACATGAAATATATATATATATAAAACAAAGAGGTATGTCTGTGTGTGTGTTTGTGTGTTTGTGTGTATGTATGTCTGCAAGAGAATCTCGGAAACTACTTTACCGATCTGTAGTGATGATGGATGGTGTTATATGTAGTGATAATGGATGGTGTTATATGTAGTGATGATGGGTGGTGTCAGACATGACATTGTCCTATCTATCCATGAAATGCTGCATGAGCGCAACACGTATGTATAGTCATTTAAAAATGCCCTGGAAAACAGGCCTTCTGACGAGTACAAAGTCAGAATCAAAGCAGACACCTTAATGCACTACAGTGAGACAATGTGGAGCCTCCCGGAGGGTGGCGTCCTACAGTGGCCTAGCGAAAGAGCCGCCCGGAGGGCGGCGATTCCGCAAGTTAAAAATAAAAATATAATAAAAATAATAATGAACCGTACATACAAAAATTTAAAAAAATAAAAAAGATCAAAAGTGAGAAACAATATATGTATGTTGTGTTGTCAATAGTAAGAGAAACAATTGACACCCTGCAAGAAGTAACATCCCCCTTTATTTTTCAGAACACGACACGACACAATACGACACGACACTACACAGCACATCACGACACGACACAATACATACAGGTACACGAAGGTAAACATTCACCAGTAGGTGTCCCAGCAACGAGATCAAGGGATACATGGATAATATTGTGTGTGTGTGTGTGACGCGTCGGTGACATCTCCTCATAGCGTGACTCTGATAATTAATCCTTGAGGAGGTGAAGATATATACTTGAGAATACGTGCTCACTTGATCACGATACCGGTAAAGTCTGATGATTATTAGATGTGCACGCTGGAATATATTATCATGAGTTAAGGCTCAACCACTTAAGACAACACATAATTGTGTTTCCTGGTGGTGAGTGATTGTCATACGCCATTGATACTGTGGGTCGTCTTCTCTTTGATGTTGTTGGTGACGTGTTTGTTGATAGATACATAAAGTGGTTCTGTAAGGTATATCCTGGAGACATTGTTGACAGTTTTTCACCTTTATGATTTAATTAGAGGTAAATTATGTTCTTGCACTTGATATATAGCAAATTGTAAAAAGAAAAATAAGAAATATTAATCTATTGTTGTTTTTTCAGGTGACCTACATTAATGATAAGATTGACAAGAGTCTTTCATCTGCTCAACATATCTGATGATCTAATCTTTAAGCATGCATGTACTCACGCACCCAAACATACCTCCCCCCCCCCACACATAGTATTATTACAGATACGAATATCAACATCAGTCAAATCTTGTATCAACAAGGTCGTGATCTTAAAAATGACACCACAACACCACGTGGATGATGACCTTCAATTGTCTCCTCTTAACACACCCACCAAGACCACAATATTGTCCCGGTGGTATAAATAATGAGACCGGTTAGCATGGTGGAGTCACTGCCTGTCTCAGCACTCACCCAAGATAGAGGAAGTTGGTCCCAGTGTTTAGTATTGAACCACCGACAGCGCCACGGTGGGGGAGATCTACAACAGAGAGTCTGCTGAAGAAGAACATAGAAGGCTCACTCTCCAGGATGGACTAAGACCTACTGACACACCACGCACCACTATGCAGGTCAGTCTTGAGTACAGGTCATGGTCAGGTCAGGTCATGCAGGTCAGTCTTGGTACAGGTCATGCAGGTCAGTCTTGGTACAGGTCATGCAGGTCAGTCTTGGTACAGGTCATGCAGGTCAGTCTTGGTACAGGTCATGCAGGTCAGTCTTGGTACAGGTCATGCAGGTCAGTCTTGGTACAGGTCATGCAGGTCAGTCTTGGTACAGGTCATGCAGGTCAGTCTTGGTACAGGTCATGCAGGTCAGTCTTGGTACAGGTCATGCAGGTCAGTCTTGGTACAGGTCATGCAGGCCAGTCTTGATACAGGTCATGCAGGTCAGTCTTGGTACAGGTCCATACAGTTTCATTAATAAATAAAACAGTCATCCCGCTGTACATGACATATAAAGTGAAACCTCTATTTAACGGACTATATGAGTGTAATCCGTTATATCGAGGTCCATTAGATGTGAAACCTCCATATAACAAACTACATGGGAGAGAGTACAGTCCATTATATATGAAACCTCCATATAACAAACTACATGGGAGGGGGTACAGTCCATTATATTGAGGTCTATTATATATGAAACCTCCATATAACAAACTACATGGGAGGGGGTACAGTCCATTATATTGAGGTCCATTATATATGAAACCTCCATATAACAAACTACATGGGAGAGAGTACAGTCCATTATATTGAGGTCCATTATATATGAAACCTCCATATAACGGACTATACCACTTAATATCCGTTAAATGGAGGTTTTACTGGATAGAAACAAGTTCTTCACTACACTGTCTTGTTTACTCTTCACTACTACTAACAGAGCCGCCAGAGAGAGCTCACCGTCCGTACTCAGGAAACAACAACAGCAGTAACCACAGAAATCTTGACTCAGAAACAGGTAGGAACTTATCACAGAAGACAGCCAAGAGGAAGCCCATCACCCTACGTCAGGTGTTTTGTGACGGCCTTCTCCTCGCCTACGCCGTCAATAGTGATTATTTGGAGTTCTTTAGCAGCTATGAATTTAAAAGCCACTAAAGAGTCAACAATCTGTACACTATCTTAAGAGGCCAACCTTTAATCACTGAATATTTTGCGTAGTTGATAATTTTTATTCAGTATTAATTGTCTTATATTTGTTATCTTTAGTATATGAAACATTCTGATTATTTTTGTTCTCAATAAATCCACAAGACAATGTATTTAATTATAAAAAACCTATTAATGAGTTGTTTATTTGGGAGATAAGAGATAAGTTATATACTGGGTACTATATTAGTTATATATCTTTAATGTTTTTAGCCTTCAGACGCCCTGGGGTCAGGCGGGTATTGTCATTGTCTGTACCGTCTGTCTGTCTGTCTGTCTGGGGTCTGTCTGTCTGTCTGTCTGTCTGTCTGGAGTCTGTTTTCTCTTTTTTTCTCTTCATCATTCCTAGCCAAACTCCCCAAGGACCGTAGATGTGATGGGACCTTGTGAAGTAAAATTGTATCCCTTTAAATACTGGATAGAACATGGATAGACGAACATACACGGGTACAACTAACCTAACCAAACTAAACCCGAACATACACGGGTACAACTAACCTAACCAAACTAAACCCGAACATACACGGGTACAACTAACCTTACCTAGCCGAGCCTAACCTAACCTAACCAAACTAAACCCGAACATACACGGGTACAACTAACCTTACCTAGCCGAGCCTAACCTAACCTAACCAAACTAAACCCGAACATACACGGGTACAACTAACCTAACCAAACTAAACCCGAACATACACGGGTACAACTAACCTTACCTAGCCGAGCCTAACCTAACCTAACCAAACTAAACCCGAACATACACGGGTACAACTAACCTTACCTAGCCGAGCCTAACCTAACCTAACCAAACTAAACCCAGTCCAATCTAATCAATCCTATCTTAATATATCCCAGCCTGACCTAGCCCAGCCTAACTTAACCTTTGCCAAACTTAAACTATAATAATTCAACCAACCTCCCTACCGACACACACACGCGTGAACTGCCTCAAGTACAATACAGTCACTTGTGTCTCCTTCCCATCTTCATCAGTATCGTAACTATGTTTTTTTTTGGGGGGGCTAGGCATTATCACCCACTGCTCAAGGTGCCAGGATACACTATCACCACCAACCACTACCGGTCAAAGTGTGCCTGGGTACACAATCACCGGTAGCTAGTATCTTAAGTTGAGGTGATAGCAATTAAAACACACACACACACCGCAATTGAGTTAACAAAGCATCACGGACACAACATTACTCCGGGGTATAAAAGACCAGCGATAATAAGGGTGGTGTCAGACTTGCCTCAAACCAGGGAAGAGGAAGAACCTCCACGGCTACCCAACGATACGACTCGACCACCGTCACCACCAGAGAGTATTTGTCCTTTCTTCTCTGTATCAAGTTGCTGTGACCAGGAACAGGACCAGCCAGGTATAGCAACTTGAAGTTACTCGTCGTCAGCAGCGTCACCAACCAGAGAGACATACACACAAGGAAGAATACCGTGTAGAACCTTCGTCAGGATGAAGATACAATACCTAAAGAACCGCTACGACCACCCTACAGGTTAATTGTTGCTTGAGTGTTGCTTCTCATATATTGCCGGTGTGTGTAATAATAATAATAATAATAATAATTAACGGTTTATTGAAAGAGCTTGGCAGCCAGAAGGTTGAAAATATACGGTTACATATTTGGGGAATGGGTTTCGAATTATAAATAATATACAAGTAACATAAGTGATACAAATAAGATATATAATAACTAGATGGGGAAAAGCTCAAACTACAGTGCATTTCAACATAGTGACAGTGCAAGAAGTAGTATTTACTGGGAGTGAATACACTGGTTTATTACAAGTTATTGATAATTTTTACAATGGTTGGGACTGGGCTGTTCTTATAGCGATCAGTTCATGCACGTATGGGCTGGATGCGGTTGTGGTGTCGAACAGCAATTCTCGGGCTAGGGATCTCAGGTGGTAGTAGGAGCCGGTGTCGAGGATGGTATAGAAAGCTTCTTACCAAATTTGCAGATGAGGTCGTGGTGATGGTCAGTGAGAGTCAGGGTCAGTGTGTTGAGCGCTTCTTGATATGTGAGTAGGAAGGGAGTCTTGCATGCCCTCTTTTGCACTTTTTCTGGGTGTTTACGTTGGTATGGCATTTAGGGAGGAAGACCAGGTAGGGGAGGCATGGTGAGCTTGGGAATATGAATGTTGTGTAAACACTGAGGAGCTCGGGTGCAGGAACTCCGAGGGACTTGAGTCAGCGGAGGAGGTGGAGACGGAAACTGGAGTTTGACAACTTCACTGACGTGTGGTTTCCAATTTAGTTTGTTGTCTATGTGTGTGTGTGTGTGTGTGTGTGTGTGTGTGTGTGTGTGTGTGTGTGTGTGTGTGTGTGTGTGTGTGTGCGTGTGATTTTTCTCTGTATACCATCATATATTACACACACCTGTACCTTCAACATCTAAACAATTACACTTTTACCCAACAAGAAAACTAATAAAAGACATTTAATAACTTACAGGTGATGCAGACCCCCACCAGGAGATACTGAATACAATAACAACAACTAGAAAGTCCCCCACAAGACTACTGCCAGGTCGTATAAGCCTTGTTAGCTGCAGCAGTAGTGACAGTAACAGTGGCAATGACAACAACAGTGACAACAACAACAACAACATTACCAGCACAGAAGAAGGCGGTCACAACACCCGCAGGAGGAGGAAGTACAGCAAGAAAGACATGATACGGGAGGGGATAATACAAGGTCTTCTGATGCACTTGTCTGTGAACAGCTCGTGGGCAGGTTCACAGACCACCTACCTAACGGACAATATGGAGAGGAAAAATCCGTTATATCAAGGGTCCGTTAGAAATGAAACCCAAATATAACGGATTATATGGAGAAAGAAGCCCGTTATATCGAGGGTCCGTTAGAAATGAAACCCAAATATAACGGACTATATGGAGAGAGAGAAGCCCTTTATATGGAGGTTTCACCGTTTTCTTGAAGAGGCTGTTTAATGGAAGCTTAGATCTAGAGAAACTATTGTACTGTCTTGGAAATAATAACATAATAACCATCAGAGGTTTACTGTACTCAATCCAATATTAACTCTATACCAAGGAAGATAACATGGGGTATATAAACGCTAATTAAACACTCATTATAATAGACCAGAGTTCAGAAGTGAGTTACGGATTCAGTACTGTATTATTTTTCATGTATTTGTATAATTCTGTTGGTAAGGCATTAATAATTTCTGTGTTTACTTCTAATTATATAAACAACAACAATCCTCATAAAGGGATAATTTATATACCTTAGTGTAATATATTCCTGTATTGTAAAGTTATTCATTATATTTAAATTATTATGTATAGTTAAGATATATAATTATGTTATAGTCTATGTTGAGTGAATATAGTTATGTTGCTGTCTATATTATAGTTGTTTACTGCCCAATTATAATGATCTAATTACCACTATAACAGGTAACCGGGAACACCTGCAGTTATAGTTATATAATTAAATGTTCTCGTGTTATTTACTCTGTTATGTTACATTGCCAGGCCGGATGTTGATGTTTCTGTTGTAATAAAACTCGTGATTTATAAACTAATAAATATTCACCCAATCATAACTACTCGTGTTTACCTACGTTATTTGGGGTCTGTCCTCGGAGTGATTTTAGCGATTGAGTTGTTGAGTTAATTATTATGAAGCTCCACCAGCGTCCTAACCTAACCGAGCCTAACCTAACCTAACCAAACCAAGCCTAGCCAAACCTAACCTAACCTAACCGAGCCTAACCTAACCTAACCTAACCGAGCCTAACCTAACCTAACCTAACCTAACCGAGCCTAACCTAACCTAACCTCCACCAACGTCCTAATAACTAGATGAATGTGTCCGATTTTTTTCTCCGCAAATCATCAAAATATAATACATACACATATTGTGTACCTTCATTATACCTTAAGCTCCTTGACATGTATCATCTCACGTATCCCTGGTAAGGCTTGACGTGACCTCTGAGGGTTATGGTCATCAGGTTCAGAACCCCTGGACTAGATTACAGTTAAATGAGACTTAAGAATACCATGAGTTTATCTGGAGACACTGAAAAGAAAGAGGGGTAAATATATTGTGTCTTAGGAAGGAGAGACGTTAGTGAAGTGTGTGTGTGTGTGTGTGTGTGTGTGTGTGTGTGTGTGTGTGTGTGAAACTTGGTAAAGTACAGTACAGCCTAGGAGGGGCACCAGCAGGGATGGGGATTTAAAATCATCGTCGCACAATTCAGGTGGGTGTCTGATGTCTCTGACGCTGACACTGTACATATAAAATAAAGATAATGGTTGCCCCTCGTGCCTGAGCAGGTTGGCTCTAGGGCCACCTACTGTAGGTGTAGAAGCTGTTGCCAGCACAACAGCCACAACCTAAGTTAACGAATTGTATGACAGTGTCAAGGAATAGTCCAAGAAGACCGGACAACTCGCCAACTGCACTGGTTAACCATTACGCCGAACATAATCCACAATCAAAATCATCCAAGCAGGGCCGTCCCTAGGAGGGTGCGGGGCCCGGGGCAACTCAGCCACTGCGGGGCCCCAGATTATGCGGTCAGAGGAACCCACCCCCACCAACCCCCAGGGGACTGTCGCTATGGATGGTAAGGTCACGGTTGCGATGGTGGCGTAAACCGTCAGGTCAGATTAACCAGTTAACAGGTAATGTGTCCGAGATCACTGGGTCTAGTGCTGGGCCCCGCAGGGCCCCCCACACGCGCGGGGCCCCCCCCACACGCGCGGGGCCCCGGGCGGGGTCGCCCCTGTTCGCCCCCTTAAAGGACGGGCCTGCATCCAGGTTCCTAATTGCTGCTGGGTACACAGAGACAAAAACATAAAGAAACTTGACCATAATTTCACTCTGTCCGGGAGACGAATCCGGGACCCCTCGTTTGTGAGACGAGCAGCTGACCATTACACCACTTGTCGTCTAGAAGGAAACACACGTGTAGTAACAAAACACAACATGAGTCTCCGGTGTTAAAAGAGGTGACGTCAGAGATAACTTAATCAGCAGCATGGGTTACGGGTGTGGTGGGTGAGTCAGTGTTGATCACAGTACAGAGTAACACCATCAGGTGTGTATTTCCTGCAGGAGCTTCAAAACACTGAGATACTCGTATAATGACAGTGTCTCCTGGCTGCCTGACACCGAGAGATTTAGTGTTTACTGTGAACCTCACCAGTCTCACACTGGCGTGGTACATCTGGTCAACTGTGTGAGCTCATTCAAAACCAGACTTAACCAACACTGGCGCAGGTACAGATACATTCTGGAGCAGGTGTGCATGACCAGCACTTACCAACAGTGTGTAACAGAGACGTAACCGACTGCCCAAACGTCTAACAGGCCAGTTACTATCACCAAGATGATAACTTTAAACGTGGTTATTAATTGTATACGTTCTTGCACAAAGGTACAGGTACTTGGACACGAACGGAAACAGAACAGATATATGTACTGTACATACACGGACAGACAGATGGATACACAGCTATAGAAGAACATGGAGAGAGAGAGAGAGAGAGAGAGAGAGAGAGAGATTAATGAGCTACGAATAAACCCAACTAAATGTAATCCGACTTAACTAAACAAAAGATTACAGTACTATCAACAATTTTATCTAACCTAACCTAACCAAACCTAACCTAACCAAGTCTAGCAATATTAAGAGTAGGCAACATAAGGGTAGGTTTAATATTGTCTACCATGTTGTGTGGAAGAGTTAAGGTTCAAGACACCTTTGTATCACAGAAAACGAGACCGTCAGTGTGTGTGTGTGTGTGTGTGTGTGTGTGTGTGTGTGTGTGTGTGTGTGTGTGTGTGTGTGTGTTGTACCTGAACGTCCATCACTTTAAAAATACAGCATAAATAAAACCATTCTGAGTTCTAATATAACCTAACCTAACCTAACCTAACCTAACCTAACCTAACCTAACCTAACCTAACCTGAAGATTTACAATTTGAAAAACTACCTGAGTATTGAGCAAGCATTTTAACTAACTCAAAATACCTCCTCCTTACTCCCAACCCACAGCAGGATGGCAACTAACATACAGTACATCTACAAGAATAAATATGTCGCTTACAATTCCTTACATACGGTGAATAATATTACACAATTATGTTTTCCCCACTTAATAAAATAACTAACCTAACCTAACCATTACACATATATTTCATCTTTGTATTTGGTGATAAGAAAGGCTAGTCTTCTGTTTAACATATAGACAACTTACTTTTAATTAGTATATTGTTTGTATACTCCTTCATGGCAAGTTGTATACATACTTTGTCTATATTTATACACGTTGAGTTGTATACCAAGATTGTCTATATACATACTCCATCTATTTAACTTGTATAGCGATTTTTGTTAATATCTATTTATCTATCTATCAATAAGAAGACGACGGAATGACCAACTAACATTCGGCATCATCACTACGGTTGAAATTTGCATACAGGTAAATTATCACTCACAGGTAAAGAAGAAAATGGTTCATATAAGCCTTACCATTTATTATTAACCTATGATCACAGTTAGTTTTGTTACTGTACGTCATTATTAAATCTAAGAATAAATACAAAACAACACAAGAATATTTTTGTTTTGCTTTTGACATATAATTCTATTTTTCATTTGTTCTTCTTCCCGTTTAACAGGTAATAGTTGCCATTAACGGTTAACATACACGTAGGAGAGGAGACTGTTGGTTAGCAGTAGGTGGTGGTGCTTGTGATCGCTCTTCTTCTGTTTCTTGGTCTTGTTGTTTGACGAGGGAGTAGTGACTTTGACCTTGTCTGACCTGTCACTGTAACCAAGACTGCTAATGTCACTGTTGCTGCGGCTGCTGTCACTGCTGTTACTATGGACACTACTGGACCATAGCCTCACCTTCAGCGGGTCTGTGCATGTAAAATTAGTTGCAGTATTTCCCATAACCCCCGCACACACACACACACACACACACACACACACACACACACACACACACACACACACACACACACACACACACACACACACACACTACAAAAAATTCAGCCCATAAGAGCCCGCACCGATAGATATAAGAACAGCACCATCCCATCTATTTTTAAAATAATAAACAACTCCTGATTTATGTACTGTACAGCCCTGTAAATGTATTCAATGCATATTATATCATTATGTCTAAATCAAATGTAAGTC